CCCACGAACGTGTAATAGATGGGTCAAGGGAAAATCGCACACACAAACACCGTTAGGCATTATTGCCGCCTTAGCGCCGACATACACATCTTCCCCCCAAGGGTGAGGGCATAATCCAACATAGACTGGAGTTGAGCTGAACGTCTTCTCTTGGCGTGTGCCTGGCATCCTAGAGCAGATCAACCATGATCACCAAAGATCCCTCATAGCCCATCCTGTCCGTGCCAGCCAGTCCATTCCAGGCTAACCTAGGACACTTGGAGCAGGGAACCCCACGCAGGGTGGTGTCCTACGGAGTTAGGTCTGACTGCCGATCATGAACCACCCAGAGACTCTTCCCTTCCTCCCTATACCGAAGCTAGCAAACCTACTTGGTTAACTCAAGAGGCACAGCCCACGTAGCAGCCAACATGTCATACCCGTCTCATCCCGGCAGCACCTGTACAGCACACTGGGGAACGGCCCCTGGTCCCACACAAGTGCCAACTGGACCCGCTCTAGGACCTGCAGGAACCCTTTAAACGTTACGATTGCTGGGCTATCTTCTCAATTCCGTTGGCCACCGCCACCTTCCATTGAACATAGAGTATCCGCCCGCATCTGCCCAGAGATGGCCAGGGAAACTGCTGAGACCGCAGGTGCTGTACAGCCCCCTAGCAAGTAAGCGAAACAAAAACGATGAATCCTTGGTAATCTTATGAGAGCTTTGGTCCATGAAGGATATGTCCACCAGGGCACCAGGGCTGGCACAGGGCGATCGTCCCGATTCACCAAGCCACCCCGCGCACCCGCTGAGTGTCCAGTGTCCGTCCGAATAAGTCCTGATCCAGTCGGGACAATCGCCTAGAATGCTGGTACCGGGACCGGCAGAGCTGGTGGTTCATAGGTGCCTCGGACGCCCACACCCCCCCTCCAGCGGTCTCACCTCAAGTTCCTTGCTTCATGGCAATTAGTTTTCAGGCTGTTCATCGAGCCAGCCTGTACTGCGAAGGAAATAGCACCTTGTTCCGATCGTTTCCACCTGGGAAATTCATGTCAACCCGCCATGGACTCAATCCCTTCCTTCTGCCCTCAATTTCTGCTAATCGTAAGGTAGGACACCCTGCCTTGAATCCATTGCTTCTCTGACCTGTGGCTGTATGTTCACCAGTCATACCTCGGTTTTCTTCACAGCACTTCTGTAAGCATTACTCCGTTGAGCTTCAGTTGAGCTTCAGTCACGTGTGTAATACTGTCGAGTCAGGCTCCCAACCGCACTGTAGTCGCATCCGCAACACCTTACACAGGTCACCAAGCTTGACCCTTTACCCATTACAGCTTCGTCTATTCAGCCTCCCTACGTTCATTTAGCAATAAAATTCGCATACTAACCATACGCGTTCACCCCGGCTCTCACGCCTCATTCCATTCATCTCCCACAGTCGACATCCTAGCATTGGCCTTTCAGCCTCCCCTTGGTTGTATCGCAACCCTAGCCTTGGCCATCCCACTCATCTCAGTCCCATTCACCAGACCCATCATGGGCCCTCCTCCGCTTCGGTCACCTCCACGACCCCCACATAGACTATCTGGCTCACTTCGGTCGCATCCACGACATCTCAGCACGGGGTGTCCAGCCATTTCAAATAGGCAGCATTTGTGACATATCCT